ATAATATATTGACCTCCATCATTCAGTCAGAAGAAAGCAGGTTACGATGGCTCTACCCACCACCTACATGAAGTTTCATATTCTATCAGAAGCGAAACAAAGCATCTCTGGGAACCAGAATCATACTTCACTTCCCCTGTTCTCTCTTTCAATGGGACCTGGAAACAAAGTGAAGTTAAAAGGTTTTCCTCACTAAAGTCAGAAATACTTTAAAATAAAAACCCAAAATAAATTTTAGGCTGTTCTGTTACAGTCTTTTCCATGGGGGGGGGGGGGGGGGGGGGGGCGGGGGGGGTTGGTTATGCTTATTTTTAAGTCAGTAAGTTGCACTTAAAAAGTTTCAGAGATATAAAGACTATGAAAACCTTAAAATCTGGATTAATTTGGTGAACAAGGTAAATGTGACAGCTTTAACATTGCTCTTCAGATGATCGTTTTAGGAACCTTGCTTGCACCCTCACCATTCTGCCTGGTTTTGACGGGAGAAATCCCATACACCCCTGTCCTGGGGAGCTACATTGAGCCTCAAATTAATGCATAGTGGCTGCCACCACATAAGGTGAATGGTAAGATCAGGCATGATTTAAATCTGGACCTACAGAAAAAACCTGCTGTCTTTATTTGTTTGCTTTTAAAACTTAGCATCAGAAAGAAATTGAATTGATACTTGGGACCAAGGCACTCATAAGAAGTTTCCTTCCATTTAGTCCATTTGTGGGTGTCCATTGCAATTTGTCCATCTGTAATTGTGCTAATAGTAGGTGGATCAGCTCTATGGGGAGTAGATAAAAGGCCCTGATTTGTGTGTTGTGAATCCCTCTGGATTCAAAATAATTGCCAATGATGAAAATTTTACCTCTTTTAAATCCAATGGAATAGAGTTTTCATTGGGTAAATAAATGCTCAAATGGAATTAAAAAAAATACGTGGTCGATGCAAGGCAGTAGTATTTTCTTCTTCTCCTTGTTTAATTCTGCGGGTAAATACATCCTTAGAGGGAAGTTGTACAAGCTTTTCAGCCACAAAGTTGGGATTTTGCTAAAAAGAAGCCCCAAATCAAAATACTTACGTTTGCAATATATAAGCTCTAGGAGTGAGAGCAAAACTGGGTCTCGAGCTGTACCACCTCTGGCCTTGGTTTAGCAAAGCACAGATCTGTCTCATGGAAACCTGGTCACAGAAAAAAAAACAAAACCCAAACCACCCACATTTTGCCCATCTTTGGTTGCTTTTTTTTTTTCTTACTATTTTTTTAAACCACAGACATTTAATGCCATGCTTGCTTGAGAGCTTTTTCCTGTAGCTAATAATACTTCGCACTGCTGTAGTGCCTTTAATCCAAAGATCTCAAAGTACTTTGCAGGCATTAATGAATTAAGCCTCCTAACACCCCCTTTGAAGTAGGTATTATTATAGGAGTCTTAGAGATGGGCTGAATAATTTTCCTGAAGTTGTAGAACAAGCCTTTGACAGAGTCAGGAATAGCCTGACAAAGTCCCTGTGTTGCAGCAGCTTCTCTCACCACCACACCATTCTCGCACACTAAGTCTCTTAAATAATTTTAATTTTAAATAATTACTTTGATTTACTTACTGTATTTAAGTCATATCTCTGTTAAATACAAGGGGAGGCATTGATTTATCCTTGGTGGGTTAAGCATTCAGTGCCCGTGAAAGTTGCGCTGATAACATGAAGTTAAACCGACACAAATCCCTGTGTGGGGATGCTCCTGCGGGGGGATAGGAGGGGCTTTGCAAGGCTTAGTTTGAGCCCCTGTCTTCACACACTTAGTACTGTACAGCTACACCAGTGCGGCTGACACCACCCTAGTTGATGGTGCACCAGCACAGCTGCATGAAATTACCAATGGCATCTTCTATGGGCAGTAATTTGCACTGTAAATGGTGCTTCATATGGCTAGAACAGTACCTATGCGAGCAGTTTACATTATTTGATAGACCAGCCCTCATCCCTCCTTCCTCACATTGTTAACTAAGACTAAGCATATAGTCAGAACTCAAACCAATTCCAACTTACCTCAAAAAGCCAGCTTGAATTGCCACAAAGGGCTGGCAGAGTTTTAACTAAAACTTAAACTTGTGCTTTTAATTGTATTTTCAATTATGCATGTACCATCCTAGTTCAATTAAGACCCAGCTCTACAGAGAGGCTCTGTGCTTTAAGTATGTTAGATTTTGTGGAGGGGTGCATTTTAAGTGTTTTAACCTTTTCCTAGTTGACTTGGTCTCCACAGGGACGGGGGAAGGGGGAAGACTGATTCTTGGCACAAGCAGTTTTCCAGGCTGCCTCTGGCAGCAATTTTAGAAGTGTCCAAACACAGTAAATTGGTGCAAGCCTGCAAACAACCAAATCCATAATCAGTAACTTCATAATCTCATGCCAAGCACTTTGTTTTAATTAGGTTAATGGGTCAGGAATGGCCATTCCTTGGTAGCACTGTCATGTGCCCTTCAGCTGTATGGTGGTGGTGGTGGCATCTGAGTTTCCTGGGTGTACAGCTGAATCTGGTCTGAGGTGGAGGAGGACTCTGCGTGCTGGTTGCTCTCCCCTCTGCCCCAGCCCCAGGCCCCTGCTATGGTCCAACAAGGCTGATTCACCAGTAGGGAAAAATCAAACCCCAAAAAACCCCAAACCAATAAGCACTGGCTAATCCCTCAAAGCGTCATATGCAGATAGTCAGTTCCCAGTGTTAGTTTTTTGAGTAGCCATGCCAGACATGGTATAGAATGAGCAAGGGTGGGAAGGAAGCTGGAATGGGGAAGTGAGGCTGCCACCCCCTGCCTTGTATAGTCACGTTAGCATGAAGGTGTTGCAGCTGGAGTGCAGCCGATGCTCAGAGAGCTGCCAACACCACCAGCCTTTCTGAATGATGCCAATGATGCTGGGATGAAATTTTCTTTTTCCTGTCCTCAGCAGCCTCTGATTTCAGTGCATGGCCATCAGTACTACCATAACACCAACAGATATACGAGTGTAAGCCTGCCAGGGACTGAAATTAGCTACTCCAACCATCTCAAGACCACCAGTCTCAGGCACTAGATTACTCTGGTAAATACGTTCACAAGTCTTTCTGTACCTTTTCAGTATGTGCTCTCCACTGGTTGGCCTGACAGACACTGCGTATTCTTCTCCCACGTTGCTTTCCTACAGTATTGCTGAATATTTATTAACTGAAAGCTTATTGACAAGCTCCCATGCACTCTTTCTCACTGATGCCAAAGTCACAGCACTGTGCTTCCTCGTGAGGCACATACGCTTTCCATAACCTTTCATGGCTTCTGTGGGGGGTCTTTTCACTTTCCTACACACATATAGCTCTGTATGTTACTTTCTTGGTAGGAATGCGCTAATTGTCACACGTCTTTCTTTTTTAAATAGATTAATGTCATAATTATCCTCATTTTCTTCCTTCCTGCTACAGGCAATTGCTGGAATGCTTTAGCATTTTTTTGCAAAAAAAAAACAACCAACCACCAAACCCCAACCTCCACAACTTGTCTAGGGAAAGAATTGTCACCATTCCCAAGTGTAGGCCATAAGATCACTTAAGCACTCTAGAAACCTCTTCTTTTACATCAGCTGCACACTTAGGGTTTAACTGGTTTTTGCAAAACTCAGCCTGGTCCACTCAAATTACAGTTTAGACACATCTTTAGCATAGATTGTCTCATGTTGTCCTAGACGCTTTTTCCCCACTGGTTTAGGTAACATTGGCGCTCCTGTTAAGTCCTAGCCCAGCCACAAAGAAAGAAGATACCTTATGTCCCTTGATCTCAGTGTAGGGCAGTGAGAAGGCCTACATGTTCAGTGATGCCTCAGGACCGGGTGGGCACTGTGTGCCATGCAAGCTAAGGTGTAAGCAGGGTTTTGGCAGTGGTATACCTTGTCTTAGAGTCATATTTGTTAAAAGGGCAAAAGAAACAATATACTTTACTTGGCTTAAGTTGCAGGTAAGGGATCAGGCACACTGACTGCAAATTACACCCTCATTTGACAGCCACACTGCCCAGTGCGATCGTGTTTGTTTCCTGGCCTTTCACGTAAACTGGTGCTTCCTTCATCACATCTTGATGACAGTAACGGATAAAGGGATTTTAAAAGGTTAAAGGATGCTGACATATATTGGCTTAAGTGTCACATTATGTGGTTCTGCTCAGGTTCATTTCTACTTCCACTGGACAGGCGCTATATAGGTGCTATAAGCTTTGTCAGGAAGCTGCCAAAATAGACCTCTGGTTTGCTGATGGGCTGTTTCAGGTATCACCCTGCTCTCAGGAAGGGCACAGAGGACAATTTGGCAAGCAAGAGGAGCACAGGCAGGTTCGTAGGACCACCAGCAGCTACCTCCTGCTTTCCCAAATATTGCCTTTTCCCTTTAGGAAATCTGGAACCATAAAATGGCATCTGTCAAGCCGTAGGCACTTGAGAGTAAGCACCCATCAGAATAACTTACTGTCAAAAACAGGTACAAATTCATTTCATCCCACTTTGTGCCATATGCTGCTGTCAAAACTTCATGAACTGTTTAGGCAGCATGTTGGGACATTTTGACTAACTATGAGCAGAGCTTTTTTTTTCATAGCTTTGTGTCATCAGCGTTTATAATTGGGTATTTCCCTGAATATGTTTTCATCTCCAAATAGATAAGGCTGTGGAAAGTGAATGTAACCCGGGAAGATGGGGACCAGCCAAACCTCTGGATTCAGCCATTCCCATTTATGAGGTTCCCCAACTCTGAACTGGAAATTGCACTATACTACACTGTTCAAGGAGAAACTTCTTCTGTTTTAATGCTGGTATTTTAAATAAAGGTGAATTTTTTCTTCTGTGATTTGATGAAAACCTTGAATTTTGAAGCAGACTGGTAAGCTGAATCTAAATCTCATTTTCTGCTCCCTGAGCCCAGCCGCTTTGTTCTCCTGACAAGAAAATTAACTAGCACACCCTTTGCTATAATAAGTGGGAAGCAGACCACAGGATAGGTAAAGAACACATTTGCTGTTTTATTGGTGCCTTGCAGGGCAATAATACTGAAAAAGGGGAATGCAAAAGAAACAAAAAAACAAAAACCGAAACCAAAAACCCAGGATGGTGGCAACCCACATTGTATTTTTTTTAAAGAGTACATCAACTCCTGTTTTTTTTTATTTATTGTGGCATGAATGATAACATAAAACCAAAACATGAAAATATACAACTTATATTACACTATGTGTTATGAACAAAATATAAATCTATAACTCTATGTTATATTTACATAATTATTTATTTTATTAAATTTCAAGTGAGATGGTAGGTTGCACATACTTTGTTTTAAGCTCCAGGCATTTGATTGTCTCTATTTCTTTTCTATTTTCATTTCACTTGTAAAATCCAAAACGTTAGAAGGAGTAAGAGCTTTAGAGCCAATGGAGCTATATAAATACTGTTTCAGCAAACCAGTGACAAAAACACTGGGGAGTAGAGAAATCAGTCAGTAGAAAAAACGAACTTGACATGTTCTTCAATCTGGGAAACTGACAAGTTAAGATAAAGTCGAAAAAATGTAAATATAAACCAAGCTAAACAGCCAGCCCATGCCCTGTGAATTGAGGATACACTTGAATCCACATCTAGCCAATTGCACACAGTTCTTTGCAAAACTGAAGGTATGTTTCTATCCAGAACTGGGCAGACAAAAGTACTTCCTATCCGATACATCATGCCCTTGAACATACAAGATACCAATATAGTTGCCATTCATTCTAGCAGATGAATTCTGGCTAAGTAAGGTCTACATTTCCATGGAGTAGAATAATTTTTGATGTTAGGAATGTGATGTCAGAGGCTTCTTCGGGGACAATAACAGCTCATCTCTTTGGATTAAAAAGAAAAAGCTCTGAAAATGTGCTGTAAAAAGGTTAAAGACAATTTACTTTCTAAAAAATGATTTAATTAAAGAGAGAGTCTACTGCAGTAACCAAATCTTTGAAATAATGTCTTCGAAGAAAGAATTTCTTCCATATGCATTCGTAATAAGAGGATTTGGTTACAAAACTAATTAAATGCTATAATAATAGCTAGTGTTCTTTTCTGGGGGCCTGATTAATATAGCGGAACGGTTAAATAAAGATGTTAAATGCACTTAAAAATCCTATTTTACTAATATAAGGCATGAATAAATTGAAAAAAGATATACTCTGTGTTATTTAATCGAGCTTAGAAGCAAGTGCCTCAGCTTATTTTTCCCTTTCCCCCACTGCTGGTGGTGTTCTTTTGTAACCTCACGAGATGCAGCATAAGCAGCTCCCCCAGTTTACGAGGAGATGGCTCATATGCCCCCCCGGTAGCTCCCCAAAACCATCCTCACTCGCCAGGTCCCCAGGGAAGAGGGTAATAAGAGGGTAATGAAGCCCACCTTGGCATCAGGGCCTTGGTGCGCTTTTAGTTTAATATGATCCTAACCTCTTCTAACCTGGCTTTTCTACATGCTTCAGGGCACAGAACCCAGGTAAAAAAAAAAAAAGAAACAACACAAAAAGATCTTTTTATAAATGTAGGTTTTGTTTGTTTGTTTTGTTGTTTTTTTTTTTTTCCCTAGGAAATTAAAGAAGGACAAACAGGGCCTCATTTTCAAATCTGGTCTTCTACTACCAAAGGATATATGGGTGCTCATCCTTGGACCCAACAAAAAATTAGCACAGGTGTTAAGTATTTTGCTGGTTTAGGGCCCCAGAGCCTTTTTTTTTATCATTTTTTGCCTTTTTTCTTTTTAGCATTGCTGCATTGGTTTCAACATCCAAATGCAGGATGTGGATAGTCTGCTAAAGCTACTCATTTGCAAAGCCTGGTTGAACCCCAGGCTTTAGTGTAGTCTCTCAGACAGAAAGTGTATGGTAACATAATTAGCGTTCATGTGAGCCCTAGTCCAGACCAAGGCAGTGAGCAGTGCAGAGCACTCCCAGAGAAGGGCTCTGTTGTGCTGTGCACTGCCAAGAGCAGAGCTTGGTCCTGCAGCCCCGGCACAGGTGCTCCTCTGGCACAGGACAGACCCTGCCCATGAGATGGGGCTACCTCCAGGAGCATATCCTGCACTGCAGCCCGTAGTTTGGGGCTGAAATTCGGTCACGCTGAAGTCAATGGGCCTTTTTGCCATTGACCTCCCCGAGGCCGGCTTTCCAGCCCATGCCTCTACGACTTGCTCCAACCACGCCTGCTGCAGTGGCACCTACCTGGAGCTAAAACAAAGTATTCTGGTAGTCCAAAGTGACACAATTATTAAACCAGAGAGTCTCTTTAACGTGGTGGAAACCAAGCATCCAGCAAATGTGAGGTGAACCCACAAGAGTCAGAAGTAATTTGTTCACAAAGACAGGGAACAAATTTAAAAGTTAAAAAAAAAAAGGAGCAAATATCTGTTTTCACATTGTACATAATAATGATATAAAAACAATTGTCTATTTTTTTTCCTTCTTATCCAAACAGAGTGCTTCAAAAAAAATTGGCTCTAGATGACTGGTGTAATTAAATAACTAAAATGAGTGATGAGAGAGCAGAAGTTAATTAAGATTGAAAACAACACTCCCATTAATTCACTCCATCATAATAAACATCAGAAGTTGACATGGCTGGGGCCAAAAATAAAATAAAAGAAAGAGAAATGGTGTGAGCAGAAGAAGAAGCAATTTGTTTTCATATGTATATATATATATTTATATATATATAAAAAGGCAAGGTGGGGAGGGGTATCCATTTTAAATAGCCTAACAGCTTCATTTGCTGCACTGCCGAATTAGAACAGAATAAAATAAAGTTTAAAAAAGGGGGGGGGGGGGATAAAATAAATTATACATAATTTACTAATCTGGGAACAGCTGACCATTATTATTATTAATTATTATTATTATTATAATTACCATTACAACACTAGCAAGAAGAGGCAGTTCAACTGAAAAAAAACCTCAACACAGTCATAAAATACAAACAAAAAGAACCCTCTCTGACATGGAGGATATGATCAGCTACTCCAAGCATAACTTCAGAGCAAATCTTTTGAGAGAGAGAAAATAGGAATTTTTTGAGGCAGAGGCAGAAATCAAGAAAGGGAAAAGAGGAGAACAAAACAGATGTTTCAGGGTAAAACTATCACACGTCCAAACCGCTCATTGGAGTATTGTCTTAAGTCTTCAATGGCATTTGCTTGTTTGCTTTCCACAAGGTCTGCAGAGGTCAAGTTATACTTCAAGTAGGATTTCAAGAGCAAAAGAAAGACACCCCCCCCCCCCCATACTCCTTCCCAGTCTCTCCTCCTACCTGCCCCTTTCATTCTGCACCTGGGCTCCTTACATGGCTGATTGCAACAACAGCTAATTTTTCAGAATAAGGGACCATTTCCAAAATCAATGTTGCCAGGGCTATTTTTTCAAGTTAAAACAAGAGCAATGAGTTTCTCTCTAAGAACAGGAATTTACCAGGGAGCAATATAAATATAAGGGTGGCATACTCAGTCAGAAGACCAACTCAAGAGGAAAGCATTTGTCTCAGCATGATCCTAAGACTTTCTTTCCCAGGCCAGAAAGCAACTCCTGGATAGCTGCTGTTTGAAATTAGGGATAGCCTTTTTGGTTGGTTGGTTGGTTTAAATGTAGTGCTTCTGTCTTGCTACACAAATCTGGGTCCTTTCCTCCTACAGGAAGAGTGAGGAGATGAAAAGAGACTTTTTGATTCACTTGTATTTACATTCTTTTTTTTTTTTTCTGAAGTGAAACATTCAGGTACCTTACTGCAAATGCAAGAAGCTAACTTCTACTCAGGTTTATGCTCGTGTAAAATCACCTTCCTTGCTGGTTGCTGTTTCCCAAGGAAGGCAAAACTGCCCAACGAACATATCTAAGTGCTCTAGAACAACACAAAGTATTTAGCTCAGGAGAAAAATTTTTCACTTGTGAGAGGCAGCAGAAAGGGAAACTTGGTTTGGGTTCTTACTGCCCACTTTGACTATAGAAATCTCTTCATAGCTATTAGTCTTCCTTCCTACACAAACATCCCATTGATAAAAATGGATTTCTGCAAGTGCAAAGGAGAAAAAAAAAAGTCAGTTTAAAACAAATTGCGTTCTGAATCAGAGATCAGTACTCAGCCACCCTGAAAGGACGAGTTCATCAAAAGTAGACATCATGGTAACCTAATTACACTCAGTGAGGAGGTAACATTTCCAGTTGCTCTGTCCTGTGCAGAACAAATCACGTTTTGTGATGCTGCCACTTGAAGTGTAAATTAAAAGCAAAGGTTCCTTACAGACCAAGTCATTTGGAGGGTGCGGGACTTAATTCTGGAACATGCTTTTTTGCTCACAATAGTCCAATATTATTCTTATTAGTACCATAAACACGCACACATGAAAATCCAAGACCATAAAATATTTTTTCTCTAGATTTCTTATGTCTTTCTCTCTCTCTTTTTTTCACCTGAGAACGGCACCTACAGTTTCCTTTAAAAAGCAAAACCAAACCCAAAAAATATATGTCTAATCTCACCAGCTGCTGGTATATCAGGTTCTTCAAGGGATTGTCTAAGATACAACACTGTCCTAACTTAAGACAGAGCAGGAAGCAAAAGAAAAGCAAAAGAAAAACAAAAAGAGACTAACCAAAAGAAAAAAAAAAAGCAAATTGGACTAGTTCAGCGCTTTAGTACAAATTTGGCACTTGCTCAAAGACTCAGTATGGTGTGCAACTGATGAAGAGAAGTCCTCTCTTGAAAGGAAATAATTGCTTGTTGGGGTTAACAGAAACAGACTCCCCACTTCCTTCCTTGCCAGCCACGCGCACAGGCACGCATGCACACACACACACACTTCTGACCCAGATTTGCCAGGGAGGAGGAGGAGGAGGAGACAGAGGGGACAAAAGGAATTTTATCTTTTTTCTTTCCTGTCAGGTGCATTACCAAAAAAAAAAAAACAAAAAGGAAACTAAAAAAAAAAAAAAGAAAAAATTATGTCTCTTTAAACTGTAGCACAAAACAACAAAACACATTCACAAGCCACTTGTTGGCACTGTGTACCTGAGTGAGAATTTCTAGAACATTGTAGAACAAACAGCCATAAAGTTTATTTGAAAAAAAAAAATAATAATAATAAAAGGTCGACGGGTAAGACTTCAGTGCTTGGGTATAGCAGCTGAATTACTGGCATTATTTTACCCATAGCTTATATCATTCTGTTGTTGTTATCGTTGTCTTTGTTTCCTTTCTTTTGAGCCTTTTTCCTTTTGATGCAGGCTGATGTCTATTAGTCAGCTGATGTCCCAACTAGTTAAGACTAACAGTTAAAGTAACAGTCAGTGTATGAGAAAGTTAATGTGCTTGGCCACTGGCAAAGATAAACCAGGTGGGGCTTTATTTATTTTTTCTTTTTTCCTTGAAGTCCTGTAGGTCAAGAGATATTTGGACCCTGATCAGTTGGCTTGCCCCGCAATGTGATTTTCACTGTCACTGCCATAGTCCGCATCAGGGTCATCCTCTTCCTCATCGTATTCATCGTAGATTTCTCCATTGACATCATCGGTCTGCATCTCTTCCTTGATATGAGGCTCCTCACCTTTGATGCCGTAAGTGCTCTGGATGACGGGCATCCCAGGCTCCGGGCTGCTGGACACACTTGAGTGCTCGGAGGGCAGATGTGGGGAAGGCATTCCTGCCATGGCAATGGCTCCTGGGTAAACTACACCCGCAGTGGCAATGGGAATCTGTGCTTGTTGCCTGTCACAGAGAAAAAGTAAAAGGACATCTGAATACAGGAAAGAATAAAGGGAGTGCAAATACAACAGCAGTTTGCAAGACAATAGCATATGCTCTTAGGCAGGCAGAAGAAGCACCTAGCTGGCCCATGCATGGTAACATTTACAACAATATTTCAGACTCTCCAACTGATGCCCTTGAAATGAACATCAAGCCATCAAGCCCAAACCAATTTCACTGATAAGAAAACCCAATCTCTTCAAAAATCTCTAGCTGTACCCAAACTACACTGCTCCAGCTTGCCTGCTTGTGATGCATCCTTTTTACTGGGTAAACTGGGTGTCCCATCCGCTCCTAGACAAAAAATAAACATCCTTTCAACTGTGGTCCAACTTAAAAACCATGAATTTTGAAAATTTTGCTTTTAAATAACCCAAGCTGCTGGCAGGACTAGATATAAAAGTAACACATTGCCAGCAGTAGAGATGCAGTGAGTGCTGGTTAGTTTGCACAGCAATGGGGAGGTGCTGTACAGGTAGATGAGGATAAAGCAAGGTAGGTCTCTCCAAAGGGGCAATGTTTACTCCATATTCACCCAGAGACGTGGCCATTACTAGGGAGAGGAACAGTGGGCTTTCTGGGGCCAGGAAGGGCTTATAGGATGATCACTAAGGGCCTCCTACTGGAAGGTGATAGTTTCCACAGCAAGCGGCATTTGTGAAAAGCAGAACCTTTGAAGGAAGATGGATAAAACTGGAAAAAGGCAGACTTAAAACGGAAGCATGTATTATTTAAAAATAAATAAAAAGCAAGCAAGCAACATGAGCATTTGAGAAAATCCTCTACAGGATGCCTTTATACGGCTTCTAAGCCTTGGAAACCTGTCTGCAGTAATGAAAGAGGAATTATTCCAGGCCATAGAAATTCCCTTTGCATCAAGAACACTAGCTGTGTTATACTAGTGTTTGTTTCCCTGAGAAGCTTCAGGGTCCCAACAAGCCTAGAGGTTTAAAATTCATGCTCCTTTTGTTTCCTTGCTGCATGAAGTAATTCCATTGCAGTAATACTCTTCAGTACATGCTGCACATTGTAATGTCATCAGCGGTGTGTCCATCTGCACGGAAAAGCCTTGCCACAGGAGATGGGGCCGAGTCTCTTGAGATGAACATTCTTAATTAAGAATGAAACCCTTCCCTGTTCTCCTGCCTGCCTATGCCCTGGCTGTAGAGTAAGCCTTGCACAGTACAGTGATCCTGAAAGACTTTCCTCTGCCAAACAGCTTTACATTTGTTTGGAATTGCTTGCTGCATTTTCAGATACTTCCTGCCTGCCATTCGAGCGAGGCCTCCCTCTGCATACAGTCCTTACTTCCCTATTTCTGAAGCAAGCAGAAGTTGTCTCAGCTGAAGATATAGCTCTTAAAGTAGGGAGCGGATCTAATTTGCATTTTATTCTTAATTCAGTAGGAAGGCTTTTGTTTTCTGGAGTCAGCATTTCTGTAACAAGATTCAGCACACTTAAATTGCTTTTAATATTTAACAATAGGAACATTTTGCACTTAAATGGTGCTTTTCAGAGGGTTTTTCAAATATTAAATAATTTAAGAATAGTGTTCTTCCACTTCTATAGGATGTCCACTCCAGAGCATCTCAAAGAAATGAGCTCTCAGCAGCCCAGTGAGGTGAGCTTGCCACCCTACCATTAAAGATGAGGACACTGAGACAGGGAAACATTAAGTCCAGAAGTTGCAAAAGAAGCCAGATCCTTCCCATTGTGATGCCTTCAGACACACTTTCAGCATGTCCAAGAGCTGGCATAGCCACAGCTCTTGTAAACACCATCACATGTTTGGTGGTCAAGCAGGAGCTGGACTGGTGTTTAGAAATATAGCCTTAAATGACCTGTACCAAGTGATGCAGCAAATAGGGGACTAAAACCAGGAATGCAACTGCAGTGCTGTGGCTGCCAGCATCAAACACTGACCCCACCACAGTCATCAGCTGCACTGTCAGTAAATTCTACTGTGATTTCACCCCAGGTTCGGCGCTCTAATGCCCCACTGCAAATCATCTCTAGAAGTGTCTTGATTTCAATGTCAACCTTGTCTGGAAAGCTAAATAATATGCAGAATGTTACAAGGTTAATTTCTTTCCCCATGATGAGGCATGCATGTTAACCAGATAAGCAGTGTTTTGGGGGCTCTGTAGCCACCTATTCTTTTTCCAGAAGGCCCCCCTCCTCTTTTTTAATCTCTTGATGCCAAATGTTGGCTGACTTCCCTGTGTTTGTTTCAGTGCTTACCATAGGGATCACTGGACCTGCCAGCACCACAGGGTTAAGCAGCTCAAATTTCTCTGCTGAGCGGCTTATTATAACAATGCACACTATAGCTGTTTAAAACACAGTCTGATGACACTTAACAGTTGCTGGACAGATATTCTCTCCTTTATTACTCCTTCTAGCCATTAATTAGAGAGATGTGCAACTCAGTTAATATTAAAATGATTCCAAATTCAGATGAAACAGAAAAGAAATTCCATTGTTTCTGAGGGTTGTTCTTGCTGCTGGTTTTGTTTTTTTAAAGAGTACTGTGTAGCTTTCAATTTTCTGAAGTGAATACAGAAATATCACAGAATACTTGATTACTTCCAATTCTTCCGATCTGCTGTAACCAAAACCAAGGAGTCTTTGCAGAAGGAAAATACATGCAAGTTTTCTAGGCAGATTTTAATCTAATCGCATCAAGCTGATCTATTAGCCGTTTATCAGAACCAGTCTTCTTGAAATTTATGCTCAACACAAAGCATTAGCTTAATGTACTGGAAGACACTCCCTAGCATGACAAATGCTGTCACAATGAACAATGCAGACAACTTCATGCCTGATATGAATTAACTGAGCCGAGTTCATATTCCAGCTCAAGTTCAGTATGTTCAGCAGTCCCTTTGCAAACCATATGCCACACATCGTACTGAGTGCAAACTTGTATTTTTGGCTTCTAGATTAAGAGGCAGTTCTATAGATTCATTCAGATATATACTCTCTGAGACCTCATAATACTTACTAGTATCAAGGCTCTATCAGAATGACTGTGTTTCATTGGAAAATCTTAAGTTTGTTTTTTTGACCTGTGCATAATCAGAGTGGAAATGAGACAGTTGGCCAAACCTGTAAGATGAGTACATAGCAGAGACAACAAAAAAAATCCTTAACTGCCTAACTTCCTCCTGAACCACACTGTTTCAAAGTATAAGATTCATATTCTGTTAGCATATATATTATGCTTTTGCCAATAAAATATAACATTTACCACACTGAAATAAGAATTCTCCCTGAAAAGTTTGGTTGTTTTTTTTTTTTCTGATATGAGCAGTAGTTTTTAAAGGTCCCATACCCAACATTAAAATACTGCCTCATCTCCTGGCGTCTGTTGCGCATGATAGCCTTGTACTCGCCAATGCGCAATTTTTTGCCATCTACAAGGCAGGTGCGCTTCGGCCTTGGCTTGTATTTGTAGTCTGGGTATTTCTCCAGGTGCTGTTTGCTGAGTCGGGCCTGCTCCTCATAGTATGGCTGCTTCTCTAGGTTTGTCATAGCTTTCCAGCGAGATCCTGCCACAGAAAGAAAAAAAAAAACAAAAAAGAATGAGAAATGGGTTTCTACTCATCCACAAACACTGAAAGGCAGAGAAACAAGTAGGTCACCCAGAACAAGATACCTACGGTCACATCGCTTTGGGCTGGGAATCTGTCAGAGCTTCCAGACAGGGGTCAGGTCTTGTTTGTATTTGACTAGTAAACCTCTTGGGTATGGCCAAGAGGCAGAGAGAGATAATACTGGAAGTTCTGACTCAATATCTTACTGAAACTTATCTACATTATAATGTCTTTCAAGTGGGAAGTAAACCCATCATCCTGATAATGAGCAATCCCTGACATTTTGTTTCAGTGAACAAGGCAATGTATTTTAATGGAATGGCCAAAGACCCTTAGACACACAGAGTCTGCTTTGCTATGTCTCCCCGCTTTCTTTCAACCATGGACCTGTTTCCAAAGGAAACACCCATGCACTGTGATCTAGTCATTGTGCTTCACCGTTACTGGACCAAGGCATATGCTCTGGATAGGCATGTGACTACAGCTTAATCTTTCTAGCTTCCAAGTTTGTGAGAAGCAGAATATGAGCTGATTGTAAACGCTATGATGCTGGGTACAGGAGCCTGCAAAGACCCTGAAGCAATGCCTCTAAAAGCTATAAACTATCCCATATGTCTCCGTGGGGTTTTAACTTCAAGACCAAGTCCTGGTGAACAGTGCCAGCTCCATCTTAAAGAATTTAGTGTGTGTCATGAAGGGAAGAGTTCTGGGATACAGGCACACCTCTCCACGGAGTTGCACTGGGGCTTCATTGCCAGCAGCCTTGTTTCTAACACTCTCCCTTTGTTAGTGCAGATGTTTGAGCTAGGGCAATAATGAAGACTTTACAACTGTTTTCAAATGCCTCCTGAAATTTATATATTATTATTTCTTAAAGGACATAATATGGGAGCAGAAAGTAAAATTTCTTGAATCTGTTACCCTATTTTATTTTTCCATGAACTATGTAAGTGCTTCAGGGTAAGATACATTTCAAATAACAGGAATGGTCCAAGCTCTGAAACATGTGGCTTAGAAGGAAAACTTTATTGGAAAATAGTAAATTTTCCCATTGGAAAAAAAGTTCGAATAGTTTCTCAATTTAATGGCTTCATAATGTCATATGTCATTCTTGACTTCCTCTTGTTCTTCATTTTTTATGGTTACTCATACTGGACTTAGCTCATGCTATTACTCAGGCTGGTCTTAGCTCAAGACTTGCCCCTAAGACTTGCAATATAGAGAGTGCAGTTAAGGAAAGAAAAGTCCCCGGAAAGAAAACAGTCTGCTTCCTTCTAGAAAGGCCCCTTCTGATTATTGACACCATTTTACCCATTGCTCTTTGAATCTTTATTCCAAGCTGCAGTTCAGACTTCTGCAGTGAAGGGCTAACAGGCTGCTACAGGCTGACCTCACACCTAGAGATAATCCATTTGTAAACAATGGCGTCTTTGCTCTGAAGAGGAGCAACGGACATCCATTTTTAGAAACATTACTTTGGAGTCAAACCGATCATTTTTCATGACGTTTATAACACGTAACATGCAGAGATCCTCCAGATAGTTCTAGAATGGGAAACAGTTTAATGACATTGTTACTAGTGTAGGTGCAGCACCATATTGATGCAACTAGATGGTTTCTATGATCTCTACTAAGCTCTTGTGTGGCACTTTGTATGTCATCCAGAGGTAGCGTCTGTGCATGGGGATCTGTGGCAGATTCACTGTGTTACACAGAATCCTGGTCAGCAGCTTTGTCTCCTGCAGAGAAATTATTCAAGCTTTTATAGGCAAAGACAGTGGCTACTAAAACTGACACAAACTTTCCACACATACTGGCCTCCTGGATTTCGGGCTAAATGACACAGTGATAAACATGTGGAGACTGCCAAAACGCTCAACACCTATTAATGTTCCAATAAACGGAAATACAGATAGAGCCTGTGTTGAACAAGCTTAAGAATTCAGGGTATAAAGCATATGAGGAGCCCTACTGAAGATGCCCAGATGCAGGTTTACTTTCAAATTCTACTTCGTAGTCACAAGCACACTGGTATTTTAGCATATGAAGAAAATCTTAAAGTTAGTCTAAATCTATAGCTGTCTACAGACCTGCTGTAGCCCCAGTCCCACTTCTGGCTGATGAATCCAGTCTTATTTATGAATAATAAAGTTGAAAATCTCAGTCTTTAAACAAATCTTGACATTTGCTTTACATGCTGTAAGAGAACTTGCAATGTAGGAACTCGGATATACTTTGAGACAGATGGACAGACAGAAATGTAGAAATTAAAATCACTTGTTGCAGAATTGCCATGAAAATGCTCTATCCCAGCACAATTCCTCTTTCACTGTGTTAGCGTACTTGCTGCAACCCTACAGTCAGATGTGGGCAAGAATACTCCTACCCCCTCATGTGAAAAGATCTGTAAATAGTGGGGGAAGTTATGGAAATACATAAGTCTTTGCAGGATCAAGGCCACAAAACCTGAAATTTTGAGGCACAGTATTCATACATACAGATACACATACAATACCTATACATAAATGTAATTTGTTATGTTTTTCCTTCCTAAGCTGCAAACTCAGTACAATAAAAATCCTGGCAGTCTCACCTCTCTTCCTAGCAATTTTTTAATAGCTGCCTTCTGCAGTGATACCTCCTCTTACTCTGACTTTACCATTTTTACAAAATATACTAAATACAATTTACTAGTATGTTTTGAAGTATCATAAATAATGAAACAAGCAATGCTGTCAAACTAAATTTTAAAAAAGGGCACATTTTCTGATGATAAACCTTTGGTTTTTACAGTTCATAATTCTCACTTGTTTTCTTAGTAATATTCAAAATTCAAACAGCTCTCTGGTCTTAATTTGAAATTCTGAAAGTCTGAAGAATATAGAACTCTGATCTTTGGATGTGCACCCACAGGCAAGCTAATAAGCTATGAATGAGTATTGTCAATCAACATAATGAAACTCATTAAAAATACCTTTTGTTTGGACAAACGTAATACTTTATATGCCATTGTTTTTTGTGTCTATAAACACACACAGGCAGCAGTGCCAAGCCCAAGCCCAAACAAGGTGCGACTGAAGAATCTTGAAAAATCTTTCTTTTTAAGGCAAGATTTACACTCTTGGGTGAGCTTTCTGCTCACCATCTGTGTTAGAAAGATTTGAGTGGGTCAAGTACACAAGGCTTTTCTCCTTGACTATGAAAACAAGAACCCATTCCCCTCCCTAGATGCATACAAAATGACAAGCAGGATTCCTGCACAATTCTTCCTGATCTGGTGGCTGAAGTATTTAGAAAATAAAATAAATGAGAAAACTGTAAGATTTTGCAGCACTGCAGCACCTAACAGGGCTCCTGCCTTCAAACTGGGCTAGGGCAGTTAGAGCCATGCCTACACAATGACTGTGAACACAGCTAGCTGTAAGTACAAAGCAGAAAAGAGATGTCCCTATGTGTGCCCCAGCACTTGCATGCATTAGATGGGGCTAAGAGCTCTGCTCACAGATGATTTTAAGTCAAATTTCTCTGACAAGAGTTTTCAGCTGTTTGTAATACTGCCTAACTTTTAGTCCATTAGACTGACATTTTTCAATCTATGTACCTGAATCAAGTGGATTTTTAATTTAAAAAATACTCTCACATACACAAACACTTGTATAATACATAGGTATGTGAATAGGGTTTTACTGACACACTGACACATCCATGAGAGAATTTCTGAAAGCAGTATCTAAATTAATCTTTTCCTAATTTCTTTATGTAGATTCATCAGTGAAATGAATTAAAATATTTACAAAAATATCTAAACAATGCATTATTAAATTGATAGGGTCCAGCAGACCCATTTTAGCACTTTTTAACAATTTACTAAAAAAAAAAATCATTATCCACAAGTTGCAATGAACAGATGGATGCCAAACGTATGCACAGATGAATTTAGTGACAAATCCATGTATCTAATTTTTATGCTCAAAACATAATACCACAGTGTCAAACATAATCCCTAGAGAATTTTAGAGCTGGGAAGGGCACCTCCTCTCATTTTACTATGAAAATGTCCCTTGAGCAGTGACAACTCTATCTAAGCTACTCTCCATGACAAAGAGCTCCCTGACCTCAGTGTGTAGCACTGCTGCTAAAAAAATGATAAGGGAAAATTGCGGCTTTCAAATAAGGAGACCCTAATACCTGGGTAACAGTAAGCCTCCAGTTGCTCACCCTATGCCAGTTAACAGAAAGCTCCCTGCTGACTTCAAAGACTGGCCTTTTGCAATTGAGGGAAGACCTTTGTAACGTTCCTGTCAAGAAAGATGTCAGGACATCCCTCTCCATTGCATAGGTGGAATAAAAACTTAAATGTGATGCTACGAAGAAATAGAAACATCATCTCTTACTGCCTCGAACCTTGCTTTTCCCCGTATCTGGCAGCAAAACAGAAAGAGTTTGGAGTCAGCTATACTGTCTGTCACCTCAACAGGATCTGTAATGAATTTGCACATTTTACTCCAACTACTGTATATCTAATCAGAAAAAGATGTCCCCATATCTCCCTGATCTAGCGCCAAATAGTAAAAGGTGATTCCTTATGTTAACAATTTCAGCAGAATGGCTTATTAAAACCAGATTTTAGGGTATTATAAAATGCTTAGAAGCCCTTTAAAATGTCAACCAGGATCCCCAGAGACTGCGTAAAATGTCAGCCCAGCTCAAGCGCCTGTTTTAAGCAGAATGAATTAGCAGCGTGCTGTCGGAGGTTGTTATCCAAAACAATCAGTTAAGAAGGAAAACATCAAGCTCTCTTTGTACTTTCTATATGAAAAGGGCCATTCAGAATGATCTTGTAGATTTCTGAAGCTGATAATTTAAAAACAGGTTTAACCAGGTCTCCTCTCAATTTAGAAACAGACCAAAACTATTACCACCCTGTCCTCAGTCTAACCATATCACACGCTTCTGACCAGTATAATCTCTTTTAACCTGTATAAGGTTATTTTACCATCAACATAACCAATTTAACTTTCTAATCCTGTTCCCATAACTAATCTAATAATCTCATACCACCCTTTTAATCATGGGTTAATATTGTCACATCTGCCATCCACAGCCAATATATTCTGCCTCTTCCACCAATTTATCTCATTTCCACTTGCCCCCTGCTAACATTTCATGATACCAAGCTAAACCTCAAACTTCTGACCAGCTTAAACCCTGCACAATTTACCAGCCCCGCAGCTGGTTAATGCTGCCATTACAATTGCACTACATCTCTCGAGCTGTCAGCAAAACCAAGACCTGCAGCCCAAGTAAACATGTCCCCTATTTAAGCATTTACCCACTGGCCTGAGGGACACTTAGCTCCTATAATGCAGCCTTTATCAGTAAAAATGCAACATCTCCAATTTGGTAACAGATTATTTTTTTTTCTTTCCTGCAGAATAGTAATTCATTGGCCTCATAGATCCTCACTATTCACCTCTTGTATCATTCAGCATGTCACAGAGGAGTAACTTGGGACGGAATGTGGTCCTGAGAATTTGAGCAAGTAGGGAAAATTTGGAAGACTATGGCATGAAATTCAGTAGATTATGCTCATGACAAATACTCCTTGGGCTGTGAAGAGTAGAGGATATGAAAATGATGTTTCTTTTTCTGATTTCAAGATTCTTTTTAGAATATCGAACAATGAAGAACTGTCCACTGTTAGGAGAAGCTCAGTTTCAAGATCATCTAAGGAACCTGAAGGTGCACAAATCTATGGGACCTAATGAGATGCATCCACGGGTCCTGAGGGAACTGGCAGATGAAGTTGCTATGCCACTGTGCATATTTGAGAAGATGTGGCAGTCAGGTCAACTTTGTGATGACTGAAAAAGGGGAAACATACCCCCCTTTTTTGAAAATGGGAAAAAGGAAGACCCAGGGAACTACAGGCCAGTCAGTCTCACCTCAGTGCCTGGCAATATCAAGGAGCAGATCCTCCTGGAAACTATACTAAGGCACATGGAAAATAAGGAAGTGATTGCTGACAGCATGGCTTCAATAAGGGCAAACTGTGCCTGACAAATCTGATGGCCTTCTATGATGGGATTAAAGGCTGGTGGATAAGGGAAGAGCAACTGATATAATCTACTTGTACTTGTGCAAGGCATTTGACAACATCCTGCACAGCATCCTTGTCTCTAAACAGAACTGGCTGGATGATTGTACTCAAAAGAATTGCAGTCAATGGCTCAATATTCAAGAAGAGACCAGTGACAAGAGATGTTCCTCAAGGGCTGGTATTGGGACTGTCACTCTTTTAACATCTTTGTCGGCAACACAGACAGTGGAACTGATGCACCCTCAGCAAGTCTGCCAGTGATAACAAGCTGTGTGGTGCAGTCAACACACTGGAGGGAAGGGATGCCGTCCAGAGGGACCCTGACAGGGTGGAGAGGTAGGCCTTGTGTGAATCTCATGAGGTTCAAGAAGGCCAAGTGCAAGGTCCTGCACATTGGTCGGGGCAATCCCAAGCACAGCTACAGGCTGGGCAGAGACTGGATTGAGGGCAGATCTGAGAAAAAAGACTTGGGGTTGTTGGTTGATGAAAAGCTCAGTGTGAGCCAGCCATGTGCGCTTGCAGCTTAGAAAGCCAATAGTATTCTGGGCTGCATAAAAAGCAGCATGACCAGCAGATCAAAGGAGGTGATCGTCCCCCTCTACTCCGCTCTTGTGAGAACCCCACCTGAAGTACTGCATCCAGCTCTGGGGCCCCTAACACAAGAAAGACATGGACCTTCTTGGAAGGACATGGAGTGAGTCCAGAGGAGGCCACACAGATGCTTGGAGCTCTGGAGCACCTCTCCTAGCAGGACAGGCTGAGAGCTGGGGCTGTTCAGCCTGGGGAACAGAAGGCTCTAGGGAGACCTTAGAGCAGCCTCCCAGTACCTAAAAGGGCCTAGAAGAAATCTGGAGAGGGACTTCTTATAAGGGCATGTAGAAATAGGACAAGGAGTAATGGCTTTAAACTGAAAGAGTGTAGATTTAGATCACATATTAGGAATAAATTCTTTACTGTGAGGGTGGTGAGACACTGGCACAAGTTGCCCAGGAAAGTTGTGGATGCCCATCCCTGGAGGTGTTCAAGGCCAGGTTGGATATGGTTTTGGGCAACCTGGTCTAGAGGAAGATATCCCTTCCCACGGCAGGGCAGTTGGAGCTAGATGATCACTAAGGTCCCTTCCAACCCAAACCATTCTAAGAGTGGGATTTTAGGATCTTTTCTCTATGATCACTGATTTGAACAGAAACTGCTATGGCAGAAATCAAATACTGTGGTGTGCTACCCAACAGAATCTAGTTAGATGAAGCACATGCGCAAGTAAACAACAGCAGTCATTTTGTGCTTGTTCAACTGTCTAATGAAATGAACTGGTTTTGTCTATTCAGTTCATGTTTTCATACCAAAACTACCACCACAATCTCAGTAATTATAAAGACACAGGAACATTTCAGGTTATGGTTAATGTATACTGCTGGGCAGCACAGTGGAAGCTTGTATAACTGTTGTCCTCGGTGCAGCCATAAAGTAACAAAACGGATGTTTTAGAGACAGTAATTCTGCTGTGTCAGGTGCTCAGCCCTATTAAGTCGAAGTTTTTTTAGTTTAGCTACTGAAAGAAGCTTTATCATTCTTACCTAGTATCTTGCTGATATTGGAGTTGTGCATGTCAGGGAAGGCTTGAAGGATCTTCCTCCGTTCATCTTTAGCCCACACCATGAATGCATTCATTGGGCGCTTGATATGGGGCTCATTGCTACCACGCCCTCTTGATTCCCGGTAAATTCTAGACTCTGAAACTCCTGCACTTCCTACAAAGAAAGAGAAAAACATTCCCAGCTTGTGTTTCGTTATGCAGCTTCTTCTGCAGTCAGTAACCTATCTACGGTGCTGCACATTCAATCAGTCAGTGTTCACAATAGGTTAATGGTGCTTCTTTCTACTTGAAGCATTAGGAAATACCATCTATTGTACAGTCTAGTTTTTAGCAGTTCTGTTGAGTCAGTATCACATAGTGCAGTCTTGATAAAGTTTCAACTGTTTTTTTTTTCAACAAAAAGCTTTTATAAACCACCTTTCACCACTTAATAATGTAAACCCAACACTTATCAATGTAGATTTTTCTTTTACCTTCTTCCTTTCTTGCTTACAGAATTCTGGCCATATTATGTTACCTATCTTCTGCCTTCTTTGTGATGGGAAGGGGATGATAAACAGCAAGACCAGGCATTTCTTCTTAAGCAATTCTCTAACTAACAAGTGAACTTTACAAATCTGCCTGTTTTTGCGCTGTTTACAACAACAGCAATAACAGAGAAAGAAATGGATATTACGCTTGCTTCTTCAAACCAAGTAAGTTCCTACAGGTGCAGAGCGTGCAACACCTATGGACGATCAGGACTATAAATTATGGACTCACTCTGTGAACTCACACATCCCACATCTATTTGCCTCCTCTATTCCTTTCACCATCAGAAATACATTCTTGGTCCAGTCTTAAGAACTGCAGCATACAGAAAAGAAGGCTAAAAATCACCTTGAGACTTTAAAAACCACACAGTGAATCATTTTTTCCTGCCTTGTTTCATAGCCACTTATTGCTAATCGCTCTTACTCCTCACGGGCCTCCAAAGCACTCGGATTTTCCTCCACATCCCATTGATACGTTCACACAAACCTAGAAATAAGGATAAGCCATTTGTACTGACCGTCAGAATCTCCACTCATGTTGAAATCCATCATTGCATGGCTAAACTTCCCATCTTCACTCTGTTTTACTGCCAGTTGCTGAGTCAGGGTCTCCAGTGTTGTTTTGTCCTATATGGACAAGATGATAAGATTTGGATCAGGAAAATAATTAAACATTGTAACTGAAAAGTCCATAGGTAATTCAGAAGGTTGATAGTGAAGCTGGGTAACAATGCACTCAGAAGAGTTTACTAAGCCAGGTATTTAGGAATATATATACTACTTTTTCTGGAAGGGATATGGCTGCAGATGCTACCAAGTCTTTTTTGAAACATGCTTATTAGCTAGTGATGAGCAAAATTCATAACTGGTTTAGTTAAGAAGATAAAATTGGCTGCATATCTGAAGAATACTTCAACTCTTTATGTCCCTGTGACCACAAAACTGGACTGGAAGTTTAGATGATACATGCTCTTTTGCAATATATTTATTGGTTTACTCTACTTCCAGCCTGCAATCAAATTGCAGAGACATGGGTGACTGTCCTTTTTAAAAAGGCAGCATTTTAGAAAACAGCCCATAAGGAAAAAAAAAAATAATCAAACCCATGCCTGTACTTCAAACTTATTCAAGCCTTGGGAAAGGGTCAGCCTGAATTAAGCATGATATTTGGGCTGCAGTTTGTGTTCCTGTCCAGACTGTTTTGCCCAAACCAACTAACACCCCATCCGTCATTCACCTACTCAGAACTATCTGTGAACCCTGGATTGCAACAGGCTAGTGCGTGCTGCCAATTAATCTGTCAGGCTGCAGCGGTGTCTAAAGACACTGCCAGAACAACATGCCAGGGCCATTAATTCCAATGTTCTCTTCAAACCACCTCGCTTCCCCCTGAATTGTTTGACTTTACAAATACAAAGGTGTTCCATTTTCCAACTGTTTTTGTTTTCCTGATGACTTTTACCCATAAACATTCTATCTTCCTGACAATCATATGTTTAAAAATAAATCTTTCAGGAAAGCAATACTAACATTTCAAAATGTTAGGCACTGTGCCTTCTGCAAAGCTAAGAAAATGACATGATATGGCATGATAATAAAGTGGCTCCAGTTGAAACAATTCTTTTGAGCTTCTTCCTGAAAGAAAGACTGCTGTTTTGTTGCTCTATTCCACTCCTGATGACTGTAAAAGATCAATAAACTAAAAAAAAAAAAACTTTCAGATTTCACATGGCAACTGGAGACTTTACACTATTCTATGTAGCCCAATAATGTCACTGGGTTGTATTATAGAAGAAAACAGAAAAGAGAACAATGTGAATACAGAAACGCTTCCTGCAATGTGATGTGCCCACATCTGCAATTCAAAGAACAGTTCAAATTCATGTAAGCCATTTCACAAAGATCTTCTTGAGAGAGTTAGCAACAAAGCTAACCTGCTCAACTTCATATGCTCACACAGTTTAGGGAACATTAGGTTAACTTTCCTACTCCTCACATTCGTTTCCACTGTGGATCCCTTTTGTGCTCCTGGTGCGCTGTCTGTAACCAGACACATCACCACCAAAAGAATGCAGGATGAGTTATCCACTGATTTTTCAGGAAAAGCTGATGCAGCAGGGTCCGCCTATCACAAGCAAAAGGTTTTCTGCAACGTTACCAAGCACAGCAGATCCAGAAAGCTTGGAGAAGCTTTGAATAAGCACCTGAACTATTCAGGCATTTAGCTTTACCAAAGTCTTTGATCTACCAGTTTTAACTCGGCTTTCATTTCCAAAGCAGCCTGTCAGCAGACAGAAAGTCAGGAGTAAGTTCTTCTCGTCGTTCTGCAAAATGGATCTCAGATATATAGTGGAAATCAACAGTTTTTCCTCGGAAAAAGATTTATTGTCACCTTCATAATGATAAGAGTTCAAAACTTTTTATGCCAGAAATCAGTTAAAAATGCTGCCACCAACCTAAAAGATAACAGAACATCTCCTCTTGTTGGGTGTATTATGGGGGAGGGGAGTTATTCTGCTGCTGACTTTTCTTGAATCATGTATAAACCTCTTAGAGAAACAGAGCTGAGAGCACAAAGGGCACAGGCTTAACAGCTTCTTCTTTATGCCGTAAACGCAGCTCTTGAAGTTAGAGGCAGTTACATTCAGAACCACACTCTGCCAACATGATCTGATTGAGTCTTAAGGTCAGTGAATACTCCAGCATGCTGTCTGCGAGGTACACACCGGCCATGGCTCGTTTATCAGAGTTTGACTTAACAAGCCTACAGATGCTCTGCCGCTATCCCTCTTGGGCAAAGTTTTGCATTTTGAGGTAAAGCCACATTAGAAGTAGTGAGAATCTGTGAGGGAATGCCAGATGAGTGCTGAGCTCCTGGGCTGCCCTGCCACTTGGAGGTGGCTCTCTGGACAGCTGAAACATGGGTGAGTGGGGACACCACCCTTCCAACATAGCGACAATTTACTCCCTGCTACTTGAATGTAGAGAATCATAGAATCATAGAATCGTTAGGGTTGGAAAGGACCTTAAGATCATCTAGTTCCACCCCCCCTGCCATGGGCAGGGACACCTCACGCTAAATCGTATCACCCAAGGCCTCATCCAACCTGGCCTTGAACACTGCCAGGGATGGAGCATTCACAACCTCCCTGGGCAACCCATTCCAGTGCCTCACCACCCTTACAGTAAAGAATTTCCTCCTTATATCGAATCTAAACTTCCCCTGTTTAAGTTTTAACCTGTTACCCCTTGTCCTGTCACTACAGTCTCTAATGAAGAGTTCCTCCCCAGCATCCCTATAGGCCCCCTTCAGATACTGGAAGGCTGCTATGAGGTCTCCACAATGTAATGACAATGTAAATTGATCAGCAATGAGAAGGGGGCAGTTAGAAAGAACTTCTGCATGATGTTGCTTTTGAAACAAGATGTCAGAACTGCCAGCTGTACTCTTCTGTGTTAATGTTTAGAAACGTTTAATAAGTACTCAGGCAGAAGTAGGACTAAGGCCTGCTCATTCATAAGCTTCTGCAACAGTCTTAGGAGAGCAGAAAGAGATCCTGCAAAAGCCTGACTACACCTAAGTAGTGTTCCTATTTCCCATCCTACGCTCTTCCCATTAAACACACGACAGCAATCCTGGCCTACAGAAATGCTTTTACAATTACAAAATATTCAAAAGGGGCTATAGATTATTCCCATCTTGTTTTTCTTGAAAGCATTCATTTGATGACTTGCTGCTTTTGGTTTGATGGAAGCATCTTTATTTTTCCTACAATCTTTCAGTTTATGGAGAAAATATGTATGGAAGATCCAAAGAAACAAATGAAAAAAATCCTTTCTTATCTGACACCAAACAAACTGTCAACCTGCTAGCCCAGCCTTCTCTTACAGAACCTATTTAAGAACTTCAGACAAGAGGTCCACAATGGTTTCAAATTTCTACAAAAATAGCACCTATTTATCATCATAATCTTATTTCAACAGCAAACTACTCATTCTCAAAACTGCTACCACTCTGATGTGTTGGATTAGATGTGTTAATAGTAGCAAGATGTGGCACCATTCAGTCACAACAGGTGGAGCACATGCTTGCTGGGCTCAGCAGTACAATCTAATAAGGCAGTTGTGATACAGAGCTAGAATTCAGGAGGCAGTAGCATATTTCTGCACACTATGTTGGACTATGCCTTAATCTTATTTTATCATTTTATCAAGCTCTACATCCAATTGTCTTGCCAGGAAGAAAGTTCAGCTGATGAAATTATACATGCTTTCTGGTTTTTAAAGCTACAAGAAAAAGAACCAGAGTAATAAACCCTTAATTTAAAATGTGTCCCATATCCCAAAGTTATAAAATGCTATTCATCCTATAAGCAATCAACTGAGTGGCATCAACTGCAGACCAATACTGCCAAGAACAGGTGAGTCTGGTCCAAATCTGGGGAAGTGGTGCAAAGAACTGGTTGTGAGACCTGCTAAAAATTAAACTGCACAAAGCAGTGAAAACAAATGCAAGGAAAGATTCTGCTCTTGCAGTAGAAGAAACATAGGGACCTTGCTAAAGATGAAGTGATTATTTTTTTTCTAAATTTTTGAATTTTGGATGACGCCCAAGAAGACTGAAAGACATTTCATAAACATCTTTTTCCTCTGTGAAGAACTTCAGCAGAAGATTGAAAAGGTATCTTAATGGCAATTTCTACTGGACTGTAGGAGATACTCTCCTTGGGTACTAAGAGCTAAACTGTCTGGATTGTTTACAATTGTAATGGGCAAACAAGAGAAGATAATACTGTAGAGAGCAATCAATCCCACAATAGCCCACAACAGTTGTTCAAAGTATAAATAGAGAGGTTTCATCAATAGCCATAATGTGATGAGAAGTTTCTAAAACTTTATTAATCAAAGAAAGTAATCTGCTGGAGAAGATTAATTTTTACCACAGCTCTTAGCAATGCTCTAGTTATATTGAAAATAACAATGAAAAACACATACACACATGGAATGTGTCATGTAGAGAAAATATATATAAAAACTGACTAAGCACTGCAAATCAGACTCAGTTTTGCGGTCAGCTGCAAAAGTTACTTGGCTTTCTGTCATGGATAGCTGTCGTAGTTTAACAAAACATTGATCTAAAAATGACAAGAACTTGGTTGCAGGCTCTTTCATAGAAGAAACATAAAACAAGAAGAGTCAAAACATATGTAGAACAGCCTGATAATATTTGCCAGAACTCCTCCCACTACTGTACAAACGTGAAGCAAAATCTTGGAAGGTTTGAGAAATAAAGACATTCTGATATATTTGCCTACCCCCCTCGGACTTCACTTCCTGTCTTGTGTTAGATCATGGTACCAACACACAGTGTGTACCTGAGACCATGCACATGCTTCCACTCCTGAAGGCCTCCACAGTTCTTCCAGAACACTGTGAATGATGGGCATATGGCAACGAATCCCTCCTCCCCCTCTTTGAGACATCCTTTTGGCTGGGGCATTTGGCAAACACTGACAGTACTCTGAACTCCGTCAGAATTGTATTTTGGCAAGAGCTGTTTTTCCGATTGCATAATTCAAGGTTAGCAGTTTTACTGACGCAGTTCACTCTTCACTTTTCTATTCCCC